CATGGCTGGTAAGTGTCTGAGGCCAGATTTGAATTCAGGAAGATGAGTCTTCCTGCCCAGCACTCTATCCAATGCCCTTATATAAACACAAACACATACATACACACATACATGTATACCTATATGTATGTATGTATGTATGTATGTATGTATGTATGTATGTATGTATGTATAAATTAGGGCTCAGAACATGAAAATGGCATTTCCCATAACACCTAAACACACAAAGACCTCTTTCCCTGATCTTTTCTTTCTCTCAATTACTAATTCGGGTCCCTCACACTTATTGTAATATGGTAACCCATCAACCCTTGTCTTCCTTCAAGACTCCTTTTAAATGTCAGCTCCTCAAAAAGACCTTCCCAGATTCACTTCTGCTGGTAACATCTCCCCCCAAATACTTGGTATTTACTCATCTGTGGGCATTTTACACATCCCCAATTAGAATGTAGAATTTGGGGGCAGGGGGCAGGGGCAGGGGGCAGGGACCATTTTATTCTCTGTCTTTATGTTCCAAGGACCTAGTTCGGTGCTTGGCAGACATTTGTGGAATTGAATTCATTCCATGCTGCTACCCCTGGTGGGAAAGAAATGGAAGAAGTAGGTTGATGAAAATGAAATGCCAGAATTTCTCCCGAGTTTTATGAGGAAACTCCATGCCCTTCCTTATTCTACCAGAAGTTACCTACTAAGGACCATGCTTACTGCTGGGAAGAGAGGGTAGAGGCTAGAAGTTTGGCATTCTTTGCAAATTGGCATCGGGCTGTTAGAGTCAGGAAGTAAGAGAGTAGCATATAAAGCCCCATTCTGATTCCCAGAACCTTCCCTAAAGGATTATTCCCTTAATAACCTTCTACAAAATTGATGGAGTTTTCCTTTAAAAAGCTCACCCTTTAGGAATGAAAGGATTTATACAATAATAACCACATTAATAACATATCACTTATAAAGTATTCATAGTTTACATTTTATAAAGTGCTTCACGATTTACTAAGTAGACTATGTATATTATCTCATTTGTGCAGATATTATTATCCCCACATTCCAGATGAACAGACTGAGTCTCAGTGACCAACCCATTTTCACAGAGCTAAAAGGTGGCCACCCTGGGAGTGACTAAAACTCAGGCTTACTGACTCCAGATCCAGGGTACTCTCCAATATACTACAATAACTCTATTTTACTACTTACAAAACTCCTCATTAGTGAGCTCTCAATACTTTCTACTACTTCCCTTTCATTCACCGCAAGACTTTCTTAAAGGCCTATTCTTGTCTTTCCCCTACTCCATAGAGAGATCTCTGCTTTGTCTCTGATATAGGTGCCTTGTCTCTGAGGATAAGGAAAGACCAAAAACACATCCCAGGGTCCCTGGCTGGGATGGGGCTGGGGGTGGGAGTAAGAGGGACAGGCTTGTGTTGAGGTCCTTAGTAGCTCCAATGTGGTTCTAAACTCTCTCTAATCCTCTTGAGCTATACTTATTCTTCTCCTCCTGCAAGTTACAGAGCCTCTCTCTATTTTTTAAAAGATTCAGATCTTAGAGCTAATGAGATCTGACTTGATTTAAGCACTGGGTAATGCAGTTTCCAACACACGTGCTGTTTTGGCTGAGGCATCCAAAGGATTATTGAAAAGTTTGGTTGGAGAAAAATCCAAGTTATAAAAAGCCCATTTTAAAAGATAACTAACATTATGTTTTATAGTATTTGGCAGGAGCCATATAATTCTATACAATATAGACATAAGTCTTAAAATTAATTCATGTTACTTATGAAATTAATTCGCATGATGATAAAGTATTTTCCTATTGCTCTAGTAAATTTGATCCAGAACCCCAACTAAAGGTTGCCAGATTTTTTGTTGTGGTGGTTGTTTATTTTTTTTAGACAGGGAAAAAAGTATCAGAGCAAAGAATTACGATGAATATGAACTTATAATGTTCATGAACTCCTAAAGTGATTATTCATTAAATACTTTTGAAAATTGCTTTGTATTCTCAGTACTTAGCACAGCTCCTGGCACATAGTAAGTGCTTAACAAATGCTGGTTGATTGATTGATTAATTCTCTTCTATTCAAGTTTTCATTTTCTCTCTAAGTATTATTATTTTCACATAGACTTGAGGCAGAGGTTGCATAATCTATTTAGGTAAGAATTATGGCTATACATAGCTTACAAAACTTTTGCTGAAGGGGTTTGCTGGAAACAGTCTGGCCTCCCACCAGCACTTGAACTATGAAGCCATCTCTTGGGAAAGCAAGTTTTTGCTTACAGGACGGTTGAAGATTGACCAAATCATATTGAAGAAAGGCCCACTAACTTAACCAATAGGGCAAAGCCCCAGAGGAAAAGTACATGTAGCCTACCAATCAACTTTCAACACAAAGTTCCCAGGGGTCATTCAGAGGCCTGAGTAGAGCCCATGTTTCTAAAGTGGAGCTATGAAGACCTTCATTGCTCCCTGAGAAACAGTCAAAATATTGTCCTACTATTAGCCAATAAAAGGAAATACTCGCAAATCAATAATCTGGGCTTTGGAAAAGCTTGCCAATATGTTACTGCAAAATAGTACTGACATCTGATCACAGCCAAGCTGATAGATAAAGTTAATACAGAAGGGTATGCCTTAGAAACTGCTGTCACACAACCATGTCCCATACTCATATCTTTGCAATCTTTTTTCAGATCCTTGCAATACAAATATGACATTCCCAAGCAAGCAGGGAGCAGTCAAAGGAGGAGCAGTAGAAGGGTGATTTAGATGTGACCATCTGGACCATGCTCTAATTCTCCTTTACCCATACAGGCCTCTGTAGATTGCATTATTTCTTTCCTCAGTCAGATACTAGGTCCTGGCTTCTCACTCACAAAAGCCCCTATGTTTAACATCTCTGAATCCTTAAAGCAGCTGGTGAAGTGCCCTGATGGCCATTACTTGCACTGGACCTGTCATTTTTGATATCCATACTCAGACAAAAAAAACCAAAAAAACAAAAAACACAGTCAGTTATTTATTTATTTATTTTGACCACTGGTTGCTGGGGGACTCGATCCAACCTGATGTCTGTAATCAACACCAAAAATAACAGAGCAACAGGCCTGCAGATCCTAAAGGATAGAAAGAGGAAGGATGGCAGGGACTGTAATTGTCGAGGACGGACAGACCCATAGTCAGACAGACAACAAAAATCACCGTCAGACACCATGAACTACTTCGAAGCTCAGAAGGAGGGAAACTGCAGCAAGGGAAGTTATATTCCCATATTTCCACCAGGGATAAGCAGCACCTTCCCAAGTCAGGAGGTTTATAGTGTTTATTTTAGATGAGAAATGTTTATTTGGTTGAGAAATTCAGAAACCCCCATTGCAAGGGGACCAGGCTAGCTCTAGGCTTTCAAGTTAACTGCCCCTTTTTGCTCATTCTTCAGTTCCTACAGTGATGATTCTTAAAGGAATCATTTGATTTCCTCTGTGACCCAGCAAACCTCCCATCACCCTGCCAACTGAGTAGCAGTCACACTGATAAGGCCTCAATCAATCAGCATGTTTTCTGCTCTTCCCTCCACCCCGTATTTTGATAAGGCATTGCTGCACTAAGGGTGAGAGGAAGAGTCCAAGTGTGGCATTATTTCCTTCCAGGAGGCAAGGGGAGGAAATAGGCATCATTGATGCAAAACATGTCTGAGGACACTCAGAGTCCTATCCTTTTTCCCTCCCTTCCCGCTCTACAATCAGTTTGATCCCAAAGAAAAGATGACTCAGTGCAACAAGTCCCTCTTCTCTTTAGCCCAGTGGACTGCCCCTAGACCCTTTTATGACCCCTCTTGTAACAAGAATGAAAGGTTATCGGGGTCTCTAAACTCTCCTTACCCTAGACTTTAAAACTTTCTTAAAATATGAAAATCTGCAAGAGGGAAGGTATGTTTGAATATTCAACCTTCCAGAGTCACTCTCTAGGTAACACTAGTAGGCAATAAAAGCCCGGGGTCAATGCCAGCCCTTTAGAAAAGGTTTTCCTAAAAGCTGAGGAAAGCAATCCTGCCTGACAGTGTCACACACCTTGTGTACCAGCAAAAAGCCCCATCCTCTACACACACCTGTGCAAAGGGGACACTAGACAGAGGTACCTTACAGGGCTGAGTGGAGTATGTTAGAACACGGAAAGATTTTGCAAGTAGTCAATCACCCATTGTACCATTTCCATCAGTAACTGAGCAGGCCCCAAAGGTCTCTAGGAAAACAGTAGACAGGAGCTTCTGTTTTGCATAGGCCAGAGTCCCAATCATTATTGAAAACTTTAAATTATCAATGGCCTGATTTATGAGCAGGAAAATATATGGGAACATAGGTATTGGGTATGAGGGTTGTAAATAAAAGGTTAAATAGATTCTGGGGAGCCAGGTTACCAAAGATGGAACCTATCTCACCCCCCCAAAACAAAACCAGTCATACTCTGTGGGATGAATTGAATAAAAATAAGAATAGCATTAATTTTTTTTTGTTATATAAACACTGACCCTCCTGTATAATCACTCCCAATATATTAAGTAGTTGAAAGGAGAGAGTGTTGGCTGATCTCAGAATCTCTTTACCGCACCCCTATTGCTTCTTTTTCTCACCCTAGGCCCCCCTAAAGAGCCCATTTCAGGATTCAGGATTCTTTCCTCATGGATGGGGTCAGGCTCTCCAACACCCCCCCCCAATACATTCCACCAGACAGGAAATCTTTCCAATCACCAATCTTCTAGAGCACCCTGATCTCAGGATAGCATCCTTTTGCTTTTCCTTCTCCCAGCACTAGTGAACCCTCTTCTTCCTCCCGTTTCACTAGCCCCTCCCCGGCTGGACTCCATCCCCTTTGCCCTCCTGGTGACTGCTCCCTGCACCCTGGCATCACCCCCTCCACATACACACCCCCCCGGGGTGGCACACATTGGCAGTGAGGGGATGAATGAGTGCTGAATGAATGGAGAAATGAATGAGTGACTGGATCTGCTTACTTGAGCATGGCTTCTTCTTTCTCTTCTTCTTCCTTCTGCCGGTCCATCACTGCCATGATAATGTTCCTCTCTTCTTCGGTCAGGTGGCTCAGGTCGGGCAGCTCTTGCATAGGGGGAGGCACTGTGGGTGGGCGAGGGCCTCGGGGACCCAAAGCAGAAGAAGACATCTTTTTTTTTTCCTGCCCTCCCCCTCCTCTTCTTTGCTACCTCTCACCTTTCCAATTCCCAACAAGCTGCTGCTCTCCTGGCTCCCCCTTTCACAGAGTGCTCCTCTCAGCAGCGGCGGCGGCGGCGGCGGCGGCAGCAGCGGCAGCAGCAACAGAGCCCGAGAAAGGGAAGACCCAGTCTTTCATGGTTGTTTGCATCCACCCCGGTCCCGGATGCTCCCTTTGTTTTTGTAGCTTTAGGAGGATTTGGGGCAGCACTGCTGCCTCTCGCAGCCCATCCTCTGATGGTAGGGGAGGGGGAGACTGTGCAGCGGTGACAGTATCAGCGACGATAGCCAGGGAGCCCAGGGCTCACTGGGATGCTTCACCAGAGAGCTAGCTGTGTGCTGAAGGCAGTAGGAAGAGGGCGGGGGCTGGGGCTGGGGCCGGGCAGGGGCCAAGGCTGGAGCGGCGGCTGCTGCTGCTGCTGCTGCTGTTGATGCTGCTGCTGCCGCCGCCGCCGCCGCTGCCACCGCCTCTGCTGCTGCTGCAAGGCTCCGCTCGGCTGCCTCTAGTTTGGGGATGGAGGGAGGCAGAGGGAGAGTTTGGGTGTCAGTTAGGCGGAGTCTTCGATGCTTCTCTCCTAGATGCTGCTGCCGCCGCCGCTGCTCTCACAGACATCACCGCCAGCCACTCAGTCCTGGGGAACCGCACCGCCCACACTCATTCTCCCCTCCCACTGCCCAGGTCCCCGCCACCACGAGTGCTCCAGCCCGCTCTCACCAGCTTCTCTAACACGCATACTACAGCCTTCTGTCCCCGGGTACCCCTTTGTCTATGAGTCATCCTCCCTCTCCAGGTCCCTAGCCAGTGTCATCCTCCCCAGCCTTATTTTTCCATCACTGGCATTAATCATTCCATCATCATCATCATCATCATCATCATCATCATCATCATCATCATCATCATCATCATGAATTCGTATTTCTTGAGTACCCACAATATTCGATGTGCTAAACTGCAGAATGGTTTATACAACGAATGGCACCCCCTTCTCTCTCTCTCCTATGAGTTCTACTATGGCTTTCTCATCCACTGGACAACTCCAAAGGAAAGGGGTAATTAAAGCAATTATCTGGATAAATCTCAATACCCCAAGAGAAAAGCACCACAAAGTTGCTTGAATTTTCTAAATACCTTTCATTGTGCAGCTCAGATTCTTCTCACTTATTTGGGGGTACTTTGGGCTGCTTTTTTTCTTTCTTTCTCTCTAACACGTCACATTCAATTATAATATCACTTAATTATACCTCTTCTTAGGGCCTTCCCCATCACATGGCAAGATTAAACTTTTTTTTTTTGCTATGTGAATGAGTTCCCTTCTCCAATCCCAGATGTCATTTTGCACTCACCTCTTGTATCCTCATGCTCTTTTTCCTCAAGCAACACTCATCCAGAAAAGGAAAACTGTCTCTGACATCATATTTTAATATTTATCAAGTGATAGGGTATAGTCTGTTGGTCACACATAATACTCCACCTCCACTTCCCTTGCCTTTGAACCAGTCTCCATCCCCAAACTGCATGCCTGACATGTCCTCATTCCTTCTGCTTATAGAACCTTTCTTTTCATTTTTTAAATAAAATATCTTATTTTTTCCAAATACATATACAAATTTTAACTTTTTTTTTAAATTTTGAGTTCCAAATTCTCTCCCTCCTTCTCTGACCTCCCCCTCACTGAGAAGGCAAACAATTTGATATAGGTTATACATGTGCTGCCAATTAAAACATATTTCTATATTAATCATGTGTAAAATCAGACCCCCCCCAAAAAAAAAGGAAAAGGAAAATAAAAAAATATGCTTTGATCTGCATTCAGACTCCATCATTTTCGCCCTCTTACCCCCACACCTGAGGCAGACAGAACTGATAGAATTTATCATCATGAATCCTTAAGAATTTTCTTAGATCATTGTGTTTCTGAGAATAGCTAAGTCATTCACAGTTGGTCATCTTAGAATATTATTGTTACTTTGTACAATGTTCTACTGTCTCTGCTCACTTCACTTCATTTGCATCAGTTCCTATAACTCTTTCTAGGTTTTTCTGAAAGCATCTTGATCTTCATTTCTTATAGCACAATAGCATCCTATCAAAACCATATACCACAACTTTTTCAACCATTCCCCAATTGGTGAGCATCTTTTCAATGTCCAATTCTTTGCCACCACAAAAAATATTTTTGTACATGCAGATCCTTTTCCTTTTCCTCTATTTTTTTTTTAAATTTCTTTTAGGGTATAGACCTAACAGTGGTATTGCTGGATCAAAGGGTATGCACAGTTTTATAGACTTTAGGTATAATTCCAGATTGCTCTTTAGAATGGTTGGATAAGTTTACAATTCCACCAATGGTGTATTAATGTCCCAATTTTTTTCACATCCCTTCCAACATTTGTCATTTCCCTTTTCTGTCATATTAGCCAATTTGATAGGTGTGAGGCTGTACCTCAGAAACCGTTCTTTTCCTTTAAACACAATGCTCTATTCTTCTTCTTTTCTGAACCCCTTCCCAACTGCTAATATTCTCCCTTTCCAATGTCATTGCATTTAATTACTTGGAAGTTATTTTATATGTATTCTGTATATATTTATATTTGTGCATGCTATCTTTACTAATAGTATACATGTACCTTGAGAATAAGGATTATTTCATTCTTTGTATTTGTGTCCCCAGCACCTGGTCCAACGTCTAATATATAATAAGTAACTGTTAATTAATTGATTGAATAGAAAGCAGGACTTGGGGTCAGGAAGATCTGAATTCAAGCACTGCCTCTGAGACATGCTGGCTGTGTGACTACAGATCAATCACTTAACTTCTCAATGTCTCAGGTTCCAAGTTGTAGATAAATTGCTGGGTGGCATTCTTAGAGAGAGTTTCCATAGTGGGAGGTCCTCATATTAATGAAATAGCAAGTTCAGACATCCGACACTAAAAATAAATAAATAAATGAATGAATAAATAAATAAATAAACAAATAAATAAACCTAAGCAAAGTATATGTCTGTTGTACATATCGTTTTGCCCTGTGCAGTAAAGTTAGGTTGCACTAGGATAAGATGCTCTTTCGAAGAAAAAACAGAGAAACTTTTTAAAAGATGTTACCTGGAGATGTTTGAACAACATATTTGTAACATAACCAGCAAAAGGAGGCTTCTCAAGTTGGACCTCAATACCCAAGGGGCATTTTCCTTACAGGAAGTTCCTTGGGCTGGTGGTAAAATCCAGAAATAGCGGGCAGCACTGACCAGATGATGCTATAAATGTGTATGTGTATGGGGGAGAGAGAGAGACAGAGAGACAGACAGAGAGAGAGACAGAGAGAGAGGTACAGATAGATTTAAAATGTCATGGAATCTTAAAATTGGACAGATTTTAAAGTGCATCTATTCTAGTCTCCCATCCTAGAATCGTCTTTATTTTATCTCTGATAGATGATTCTTCAGCCTCTACTTGAATACCTCCAACAAGTAACAAGGGGTTCACTAACCCAGGAGAGAGCCCATTCTATAGTGAGCCAGATCCAGTTGTTGGGTTTTTTTTAAAGTATTGTTTAAAATATTGACCTAAAATCTGTTTCTTTGTTATTTCAATTGAACAGCCCTCATTCTGCCTTATTCTAGGGGAACACAGATTAAATCTAATCCTTCTTATGTATGACATCCCTTAAATATTTGAAAACCATAATGTCATTCCTTATTTACTGACTCTAAGACATTGGGCATTATTTTGCCTGGCTAGGCCTCATTTTCCTCATCTGCAAAAAAGAGGGAGGTTAAACTAGCTAAACTTTGCAATCTCTTTTAGTTCTTTTTATATATTATTTTCTCCCAATTATATGTTAAAAACAATTTTTCAGTTCTAAATCCTATGATACAATGAATTTATGTTTCTGTCCGAGGTATATACTGGCCTCTGTGTAGGGGAAAAAAGATGGATGATACATGGTTCTTTCTACAAAATCAATGAAAGGTAACATTTAATAGCCAGGAAGAATGCTAAAGATCATCTTTGTGGCACAGCAGCAGGATTACAAAAAGGTTTTCTCTACGTTAAACATTACCAGTAATTTCAACCAGTCTTTATCATCCTTATCATCCTCCTCTCTATGCACTGAGTCCAGTTTGTCAATGCCATGCTACCTCCTATTTCTAAATTGTGTTCTGTAGAAGAAAACACAGTTCCACAGATGTATTATGACCGGTAAAGAAGACATTGGGCTTATTGTTCCTAGCAACTATGTATGCACCTTAAGTTGGCCTTAACTTTTTTTTAGCATTGCTGGCCCATAATAAGCTTGTGAGCATTAGGCTCCCAGATCTTTTTCATATCAATTGTTGACCAACCAGCAAGAACATTCTGTTACTGAACAGATGATGTTTAAAACCTAGAGGACTTCACACATTTCTCTGTTAAATTTTTCCTGTTAATTTTAGCCCATATTTCTGCCTATTGAGATAATTTTGAATCATAATTCTATTATTTGGCATATAATGTCATTCCTGGATAGATATATGATATCAAGGCAACTCTAAATTATCAATCCTCAGAGAGGGAAGAAGAAACAAATGATATATCCATTTCTTTATGTATTCAACAAATATTTATTGATTACTAGAGCACTAGATTTTGAAAGAGCAGACCTGGGCTTTAGAGCTGATACAGGCTTCAAATGAATGGTATTTACTGACTCAGATATTTGGCAAGTTATTTAACCTGTTTGTTCCTCAGTTTCCTCTTCTGAAAAATGAGGGAGGTTGGACAAGATGAACTTTGCAGTCTCTTTCTGCTCTAAATCCTGTAACATAATGAACTTATGATTATGTATAGGGCATATGCTAGCTTCTGTATAGAGGAAATAAAGATGGATGACACGTTTCCTTCCATAGAGTCACAGCATTACAGCATTCCATACCTAGAATGTTAGAGATCATCTCTGTGGGATAGTAGAAATATTGTTTCAACTAGAGTCAGAGGACCTGGGTTTGAATCTCAGCTTTATCATCTGTATGACCTTAGGCAAGCCACTACATCTGTCTTCATCAGATCCATATGTAAACAGTAGAATACAGGACTCCATGACTTTGGAGGTTCCTTCCGTATTTAAATCACTGATCTTATGATCCTATATACTACAAATCTCTCATTTTATAAGTGTAGAAACTGAGGGTCAGAGGTATTAAGATTAATGACCATGGTCTTGCAATCTTAAAAAAAAAATTAGAGGAGGCATCAAGCAAAGAAATGTCCATGAAGTCCCTGTGGGGTGGTCCCCATGATTCTTTTAATTCATCAAGGTGTTTTTACTAAGTAAAATAGCCAATGGACAGGTGGACGGTACAGTGAATAGAGCACTAGGCTTGGAATCAGGAAGACTCATCTTCACG